CTGGTGGATTTATTGCGTCGTCTTCCTTGAAGATTATCCTTTATGATTTTAGGTTCTGCTCGTGACAAGCTTGGAATACAAACGGAAGGGCTAAATTACTCTAAACTACCGGATAGGATGTGTACAGTGTAAATTTCAAGAGTTCTACTTAGTCCCCATATATCTTGAGTCAAGACATAGTTTCTATTCAGAACAATTTGTTTAAAAATCCATCAAGTGAGTGGATTCTCGACTTCAAAGAATGATGGAAAAATCTGGGAAAAGTTTGTTTCTCTGAATATAATTGTTTCTGTCTTTTTACTTGACGTTTCACTCAACGAGTTAAATAGCATACAATTATATGTCAAACTCATTACAATCAAATAAAACAAACTCAGGGCACGGTTTAAGGAGCTTGGGAGGGTTAGGGGGGTTGTCTTTAAATATAAATGTAGAGAAGTGTAAAAAGAGGATTTATAAACGTAGGAAAAGGATATAGAAGTATTAATGAAAGTGATATGAAGCATATTAAATAGCAAGGAGAGTGATTGGAGTGGTTTTGAAAGAATTGAAGTAAACATGAGGGGGGAATAATAATGTAAGATTTAAGATAGTTTTAAAGTTAAAACTGAACAATTTCAATAATTTTATGTTCTGTTATGACAACAATATAGAAACCGTAATTATATATAATTATTTTTGTATTTATTCTTAAAGGTCATTTTGCTAATTATGAATTATTGTTCAGATTTTTTGCAAAATACGTGACAATTTGTGTCTCGGTTGCTCAGTTCCTTTAATATTCGACAACAAGGCCGGGGTTTAAGAACATCTGAAGAAACACAAATAATGCATTTTGCTAATTAAAGGAATCTAATTACGATATTAATCTTTACTAACGGATAACATCTGAATTTATTCGTTTTTAATTTCCTTACAACAAAAAGTTATTTCATGACGTATTTCCAAAGTACACTCTTCGAATGATATCTAACAAAATCTGAAAATCAATTTTCCGCCATTGAATCCCATGAAACGGTCAAACAATAAAATCCTTTGGTCTTGGTTTTCAGTTTTAAGATATAAAGGCATTCTTTCAAGGTCAGATCTTAGCTCAAGTTCTTGATACTCCCCCCTCCTCCCCAAACCCCAATCAGCTCCCTTTTTTCACGCCCCCCCCCCCTTCTTTCATGCTATACCCCCTACCCCTGCTCTACACATTTAATATTACGGTTTAATTATAAACCATTTTAGCAACAAAACCTTAGATTTAGATTAGAGACCTCCCGGTCTTCATAATATCTAGTTTATTAATCAATATTTCCGCAATATCTTCTTCCTTGTTCTTCGTTCTACATGTTCTACATGTTCTACATATTCTACATGTTCTACATGTTCTACATGTTCTACAAGTTCTACAAGTTCTACAAGTTCTACATGTTCTACATGTTCTACATTTTCTATAAGTTCTACGTGTTCTACATGTTCTACATGTTCTGCATGTTCTACATGTTCTACATGTTCTACATGTTCTACATGTTCTACATGTTCTACATGTTCTACATGTTCTACATGTTCTACATGTTCTACATGTTCTACATGTTCTACATGTTCTACATGTTCTACATGTTCTACATGTTCTACATGTTCTACATGTTCTACATGTTCTACATGTTCTACATGTTCTACATGTTCTACATGTTCTACATGTTCTACATGTTCTACATGTTCTACNCCTGCTGAATCCTGCTGAATTCTACTGAATCCTGCTGAATCCTATTGAATCCTGCTGATTCCTGCTGAATCCTACTGAATCCTGCTGAGTCCTACTGAATCCTGCTGAATCCTACAAAATCCTGCTGAATCCAACTGAATCCTACTGAATCCTGCTGAATCCTACTGAATCCTGCTGAATCCTACTGAATCCTACTGAATTCTGCTGAGTCCTACTGAATCCTACTGAATCCTGCTGAATTCTGCTGAATCCTGCTGAATCCTACTGAATCCTACTGAATCCTGGTGTAACCGTAGAACTCTTCTGTTCACAAATTGACTGAAAATGATTTGACAAAAAATAGGCGTAAAATACAAGGCATAATTTTTTGAGAAGATTGGAAACAATTTTTCGGTGTAAATTATTACGAAATAAAATATTTTGATGAATGATAAAATTAATAGCGTATCATTCCTTGAAAGAAAATACGTTCTTTTGATAGCATTTTATTCCACGGCCTCTATTTGTATTTATCTCTATATATCTATATCTCTATATCTTTATAACTCTATATCTGTATATCTGTATATCTGTATATCTGTATATCTTTATAACTCTATATCTGTATATCTGTATATCTGTATATCTGTATATCTGTATATCTGTATATCTGTATATCTGTATATCTCTATATCTCGTTATCTCTATATCTCTATATCTCTATACCTCTATCTCTATATCTCTATATCTCTATATCTCTATGTGACTGAACACACCCTAATCCTAGGATCCGATCACCAGATAAAGATATTAAATTACAATAGTTTGATTCATCGCCCGTCAACAGAATTCATTATATTAGGAAAACTAATGAATTCCAATCAAATAAACGTTGGGATGGATCCACCATTATCTTGTTCTATCAGAGGCAAAAACATAATAATATTGATAACTAATAATATTTTCATAATATGAATATGATGTCCAAAAATTCGTTAAAAACGAGAGCTAGATAGTTAATATATTATAAATAATTAAATATTATAAGAATATTATAAAAGATCTAAGGGACTGTAAAGTGTAGAGAAAGATGAAAAAAGACAAAAAAAAGGGTGTGAGATAAATAGGAGTAAACATAATAATGGAACTACAGAGAAAAGGTGAAAAGAAAGAAAAGGAGAGGGAAAGGAGTAAGGGTATGATAGGAGGGAGTGAAAAGCAGAAAGGAATATGGGCTGGTTAGACGGTGGGAAGGAAAGGAGATAGGGAAAGGAGTAAGGGTATGATAGGAGGGAGTGAAAAGCAGAAAGGAATAAGGGCTGGTTAGAATCCTATTCCGCCTGATGCCTACTTCACCTAATAGCTACTCCACATAATACCTATTCCACCTAATACCTACTCCACCTAATACCTATTCCACCTAATGCCTATTCCACCTAATACCTTCTACATCTAATACCTATTCCACCTAATACACACATAATGCCTACTCCACCTAAGGCCTATTCCACCTAATACCTACTCCACCTAATGCCTATTCCACCTAATACCTACTCCAACTAATGCCTATTTCACCTAATACCTTCTCCATCTAATACCTACTCCACCTAATGCCTTTTCCACCTAATACCTACTCCACCTAATACCTACTCCACCTTATACCTACTCTACCTAATACCTACTCCACATAATGCCTATTTCACCTAATACGTACTTCACGTTCACCTAATGCCTATTCCACCTAATACACACCTAATTCCTACTCCACCTAATGCCTATTCCACATAATACCTACTCCACCTAATGCTTACTCCATTTAATACCTACTCCACCTAATGTCTACTTTAAAAAATACTCAGTTTTTTACAAAAGCACAACGTAGTAAAAATCCAGCCTAAAAAGTAAGCAAACCAGCCAAACAATTGTTTGAACGAAATGACCTAAATGTTTGCGAAGTAACTGAACACTTGTCTAAACTCAATGTTCTTAACCTAACATGTTAGAAGGGTTGAAAAGATATAGGGATCTGAAAACTAGAGTTTGAGTTTAAGGTTCGAGTGTGCAGTTCCTTTATTTATATTTGAGAGAGATAAATTCAATAATACAAATGTGACGTTGAACTGGGTTAGAATGTTTTAATGCGTAATAATTAATGAAAAACAAACGTAACTTCATTAAGAAATTAAGGAACAAATCACTTTTCATAAACTCTGATCATTTTCTCTGTGCCTTTTATATGCCAAACTATGAAGTTTGATATATCAAATGGCCTAAGTGTGAAACATCTAAGGTAAACCTTATCAGGTTCCAAAATTATAAGGATTAGAAAATGACAGTGATCAGTTCCTTTGATTTTTGTTCTATAAAAGGAAGGGTTGGAACAGTTTCTATAATGCATAAAACCATAGGATATACGGATACCTACTATCTATATATTTATCCAGCACGTGAAGGTAATAGAATATAGTATTTACAATTTAGATGTAATCTATTGATGTTCAGTGATCTATCTGTGTACTTATATACTAATCTATTGATCTATCTCTGTTCTTAACATACCTCACTAACTATTCAGACTAACGTTCATCACTTTAAACTTAAACACTATTTATTCAAGAAATCTAATACCGTCATATTAAAACTAAGTGAACCAAAAGATTTAAATCTATAATCTTTGCTAAGCTGGAGTTTAAATTTCTAAAAAACAGATTTAATGTGATTACGCTGGGCATACATGTGCCGTTAAGGTCTCCTGTTTTCTTGAACCACGATTAGAAAATTTCGTGGATTTTCTGGAATTTACAACAAAATCTCTTAATGGAGTACGCCGGATGGACATAAATATAAAGCAATTGGAATTGGTGTGACCTTGCCTAATCTACAACATACAGATTTCTGCAGGAATCATTTAATGCTTTACAACTATATACGGTTACAACTTTCAATTGGGCATAATTCATTCAGCCATGATAATTTATCCATTCACCAATAGAGCGGAGAAGAAACCCATGATCATATTCTCCATGTGCGATTATTAGCATCATCAATATTGCAAATTGCCCGTCCTACTCAGCTTGCGAAAAAATTGTCGCCGGAACTGCAAAATTTCTCAAGGACCGGAAAGAAACACACATTGAAGGATTTTCACTAATTTGTATGATATTAACTTTTAACTTAAACAAAGGCGAATTTAAATCTTAAAAAAAATAACTTGAAATAAAAATAAATGTACTTTATCAAGTCCCAAATATATATGGCTGCTTTTAATAATGTGTTAATGTCAGGGAAAAAATGCAAAAATGCTTACCGGAATTAAATTCATATTTTCGATTTTTCTTATTTTTTTCTTTTCACACTCGCGCAACAATTTGTTGCTGAACTTGAATCACGAGCTCCGTATGTGTGCGTGTACACAGGTCTAGGTTCGGACGAGAACTGAAACCCCAAGGATCGGAGTAAACTCATCCAGGAGCGGGAGCCAACACCAACACAGAACCCAACCACAACATCATCCAATCCTCGAGGAATGAATGGAGGGGGGAATCCTTCTTTATATCTTCTATCCATCCTTCTTCTTCATTTATCCTTCTTAATATCCTCTATCCAACCTTCTTCTTCATTTATCCTTCTTTATATCCTCTATTCTACCTTCTTCTTCATTTATCCTTCTTAATATCCTCTGTCCTACCTTCTTCTTCATTTATCCTTCTTAATATCTTCTATCCAACCTTCTTCTTTATTTATCCTACCTTAAATCCTCTATCCATCCTTCTTCTTCATTTATCGTTCTTTATATCTTCTATCCTACCTTCTTCTTCATTTATCCTTCTTGATATCCTCTATCCAACCTTCTTCTTCTTTTATCCTTCTTTATATCTTCTATCCATCCTTCTTTTTCATTTATCCTTCTTTATATCCTCTTTCCTACCTTCTTCTTCATTTATCCTTCCTTATATCCTCTATCCCAACTTCTTCTTCATTTATCCTTCCTTATATCCTCTATCCATCCTTCTTCTTAATTTATCCTTCTTTATATCCTCTATCCTACCTTCTTCTTCATTTATCCTTCTTTCTATCCTGTATCCAACCTTCTTCTTCATTTATCCTTCCTTATATCCTCTATCCTACCTTCTTCTTCATTTATCCTTCTTTTTATCCTGTATCCAACCTTCTTCTTTATTTATCCTTCCTTATATCCTCTATCCAACCTTCTTCTTCATTTATCCTTCCTTATATCCTCTATCCTTCATTCCCATCTCTTTCTGTATTTTTTTCCTTCTAAATTTAAGCTTCATCATTGACGTTTTTTACATTTAAGAGCAAGAAAGGTTGTAATAAAGTAATGATGAAAAAGAAACAAGAAGTAAAATTCTAAAATGAATGAATTACGGGAAAATGTTGAAATTATTCATTTTTTTAAATTAATTTTGTGGTTTTATAGTCATGAATGGTAGTTTTACTCCAGGTTATAATAGTGAGCTGTCACGAGAAGATAACCGTATCTTAGTTTAGAAGATATTATTCACTCTTTGATGAAACATTTCTTATCCTGAAAAGCATTTTTTACTTTCAATCAATTTTATCAAACTTCTTGTGATTTAATATTAATTTTGCTTTCCTGTCAGATCTAGAAATTTTCGATCCTTCCTCAATATAACCTTGAAAATATTAAATATAATGTCCATAATTCCCAGTCCATTATATAAGTTTATTGTACAATTTACGCTCATTCATTGTTTGGCATATACTGGTTGAACACGCATATTTTGCAAAATATCGCCGTATTCCGCTCGACCCTGAAACTGTAGCCCAATCAAAGCTAATTAGCCAATGTAAAAGTTTAGTTGAGTTTTTATTAATGAAAATAATGAATTTAAGGCTGGTTTTAATCCAAGGAATTTGGTGGCTGTGGTTGGGGATCAAATTACGGAAACTTTAAGCATCAGTTTTAAGGGACTTCCCAAAATTATGTTTTTTATCTCTATTTTTTATCATATCTTTTTACCCAGCTTTATATTAGGTCCTTAATTTAATCTTTATTTTTATCTAAGATCCTTAATCTTAGTTTAATCTTTATTAGCTTTATATTAGGTCCTTTATTCAATCTTTTTATTTATCTAAGATTCTTATTCTTAGTTTAATCTTGATTAGCTTCATATTAAGTTCTTTTTACTCAGCTTTATACTAGGTCCTTTATTCTTATACTTTCTGTTTACTTTCTTCATTCAATTTTAATCTTTACTTTCTGTTTACTTTCTTCATTCAATGTAATCTTTTACTTTCTATTTACTTTCTTCATTCAATGTAATCTTTTACTTTCTGTTTACTTTCTTCATTCAATGAAATCTTTACTTTCTGTTTACTCTCTTCATTCATTGTAATCTTTTGCTCTCTGTTTACTTTCTTCATTTAACTTTAATCTTTACTTTCTGTTTACTTTCTTCATTCAATGTAATCTTTACTTTCTGTTTAATCTCTTCATTCAATTTAAATCTTTACTTTCTGTTTACTTTCTTTATTCAATTTAAATCTTTACTTTCTGTTTACTTCCTTCATTCAAGAAACTCAGTTTTTTGATAATTCAAACTTAGATCATTTGTTCTAATAGAAATAATGGGTTAAAATACCAAAGGTCTACGACATTGTATTGCAAAGATATGCAATCATCGTTAAAAATAGCGTAAAAATCTTATCTACTTAGAATGGTAAATACTTAGCCCAACAAAAAAGTATAAAATAGGAAATACGAAAAATCTACATTCAATGGGTTTTAAAGTTATAACTAACTTGAATTTTAACCAGGACCTCTAGTTTACTGTGCCTTGCCCTCCTAAACTCCTTGTGTGTGCCGCTGCTCTAGTTTACTGCGCATTGCCCTCCTAAACTCCTTATGTGTGCCGCTTCTTTAGTTTAATGTGCCTTGTCCCCCTAAACTTCTTGTGTGTGCCACTGCTCTTGTTACCGTGCCTTGCCCTCCTAAACTCCGTGTGTGTGCCGCTGCTCTAGCTTACTGTGCCCTGCCCTCCTAAACTCCTTGTGTGTGCTGCTGCTCTAGCTTACTGTGCCCTGCCCTCCTAAACTCCTTGTGTGTGCTGCTGCTCTAGTTTACTGTGCCCTGCCCTCCTAACTCCTTGTGTGTGCTGCTGCTCTAGTTTACTGTGCCTTGCCCTCCTAAACTCCTTGTGTGTGCCGCTGCTCTAGTTACTGTGCCCTGCCCTCCTAAACTCCTTGTGTGTGCTGCTGCTCTAGTTTACTGTGCCCTGCCCTCCTAACTCCTTGTGTGTGCTGCTGCTCTAGTTTACTGTGCCTTGCCCTCCTAAACTCCTTGTGTATGCCGCTGCTCTAGTTTACTGTGCCTTGCCCTTCTAAAATCCGTGTGTGTGCCGCTGCTCTAGTTTACTGTGCCTTGCCCTCCTAAACTCCTTGTGTGTGCCGCTGCTCTAGTTTACTGTACCTTGCCCTCCTAAACTCCTTTTGTGTGCCGCTGCTCTAGTTTACTGTGCCTTGCCCTCTTAAACTCCTTATGTGTGCCGCTGCTCTAGTTTACTGTGCCTTGCCCTTCTAAAATCAGTGTGTGTGCCGCGGCTCTAGTTTACTGTGCCTTGCCCTCCTAAACTCCTTGTGTGTGCCGCTGCTCTATATTAGATATGATTGATAGAAGGTTTACCTGCTAGGTAAGTTAAGTGCATGACCATTGACCAGGCTCTTATCTTTCTCTAACAATAACATTCCTTGCAGATTCTTTAACAACGTCAAGGAAAAGAAAACGTTTTATGAGTCATTCATCCCTCTTCGCAAACTTTTTACACTGGATTTTATTTTTATTTTTTACTTACTTTCAGTGTTTCAAAATTAATCTTCATATTTTTTGTTATCTTTATTGGCGTGATGCAATATCTACAGAAAGCGTATTTTACATTAAGTATTAAAAGAATTTGCAGAAATCAATTTTTCATCATCATAAATATTTGTATGCAAACTGTCCGCAGTAAACTGAACACCTTGAAATTTAAAAGGTTTACGACAACCGCCAGATTTCAAAGATATCAGGATCAGATAATTGGAGTATGAGAAGAGTTTACTCAAGTTTAAAGATGAAGGCAGTAAAAATTAAAATATCCGAACAATGGTCTTTGAAGACTTATTTGTTGTGAGTAAACCCTGAACCTAACATAGTTTGAACTTAGTCTTGTTTTCTTGTCCAAGCAGTAAAAATTTAAGAGAATTAAAAATATATTCTGTCTGAAAATTCAATTTTTGCAAAGTTAACTAAGCGGAGAGAAGAATGAATGGATTCTCCAGTCTTGATCTTTAACCTACCGAACTCTTAGCTCAGAGTTAAGAATTTGAACTGAAATTATTGTAAAAATGTGCATGCTACTTATTTTTATCCTTCAATCAAAGCATTACCCGCCGTAAAATACATTTACCAAGCATTACCAGCCGTAAAATACATTTACCAGGCATTATCCGCCGTAAAATACATTTACAAAGCATTACCCGCCGTTAAATACATTTACCAAGCATTATTACCCGCCGTTAAATACATTTACCAAGCATTACCCGCCGTTAAATACATTTATCAAGCATTACCCGCCGTAAATTACATTTACCAAGCATTACCCGCCGTTAAATACATTTACCAAGCATTACCCGCCGTAAATACATTTTCCATCATGGTGGTACAAATTTTTCTTCTCAAGTCAGAACTTTTGTATTGTCAATCCCTTAAGAAATCCCTAATCCGTAGCTTTTGTGTTCTGTGGATTAAGTTAATTCGTTTTGGATTCGACCAATGAGAGTCGACTGCTGGATATCTCAAACAGCAAAAGGCATCTCATAGCCTAAACAGATATCATAAAAGTACGACCCTCTATGCAAAGAAGCAATGTTCGGTTTACAACAGTACCCTTAAAAGCTTTGCCTGATCATATAAGAATTAGATATCCATTTTTTTGTTTATTTAAACTATTTGATTTCATTTGTGGTTTCCCTGCACAAGGGACTTGCGCATTTCTTTTTCATAAGAAGCAAAAGAGAAATAATAAGAAAAAGACACTTTGCTATTCACGAAAAGACAATAGTTTTTGATCAGATTAAGGTTTCAAGGTTACCGTTGTAAATCGGGCATTGCCATCTTTGCATGAAGGGTCATTTGAAATTAATCCCTTTAAGTCGTTTTTTAGAATAAGATTTAAAAAATTTTAAAAAACATATGAATTTTAGGCGGCATTTGATTGTAAATGCTATTATTAAAATGATAAAACCCAAGAAAATACTTCAAAACCTGATAGAAGGGGCAAGACCAATTTACAAATTTCAAACATATACTTCATATCAGAATGTGCAATATATGCATTCAACGGAACTAAATTTTGAAATTATCCTGATTTTAAGCTGAAAAATGATCAAACTAATAATACAGAACGAATTGATAATCTAGAAATAACTTGATA